CCGGGTTTCGTTTAAAAAAAATTTACATCTAAACTAAAAAGGTAAAAATTAAAGTATTTTTTTAATTTACCGAAAATTTCGGTAAAATTGATAGGTACGCGAACTCCTGTATGGAAATCAAAGTTTTGCATTGCAATGAATTATACAGGAAAGGCTTTTTAAAAAACTTCTCAAGAATCGCCAGAATATCAAAATTTTCGACAACTAACCTACATGTAACTGACATAATCTAAAGGGTCTGAAAATTTGAGGGTAAGGTACTAGTGGTAAGTTACAACTTCTGTGAAAAAAGGTGATGGTACCATCTCTAGTTTCCGAGTCGATATACATGTACATGTAACTCTGCAATTTTAGGCCTACCTTATACTATGTGAATAAACATCGGGTTCGGGGACATCGAAGTCCCCTGTCCCGGGGTCTGAAATTTTGAGGGTAGGATACTAGTGGTCAGTTACCAATTCTACGAAAAATTGGTGATCATGCCATGTCTAGTTTCCGAGATATAAGCCTTGCAGTAATACTACATGAATAAACATCGGGTTCGTGAACATCCAATTTCCGACTTGGCGGCGGCGGGAACCAGACTGTAAACAAACATGGCGAGTACTAGTAGTGAAAAAGAATACAATTTGTCATCGGATAGTGATGGCACTGATACATGTTCTTCATCATCATTTCAACAGAGTAAATATAGCAAAACATTTCCGTGCAGAGCTTCCCATTGGAGATTAGAACATCTCTTGGAACTGTCCGTTTTCTATGATGAAAAGGCCACTGATCTTGGAAAATTCATGTCCGATCTGAAAACTCTCAAATCTGTTGCACGTGGGGGCCTATCAGAAGTGCCAAGTATCAGTCACACCATTATGCAGTACACAAAGGAGTTATGGAATTTTTCGTACGATTATTACAAGGAAACAGGTGAAGGGACGTGGGAAGCTAGAGATCAGATAGAAAGAGCAACAGAGGCCTTTGAAGAGAAAGAAAATGATATGGAGGAGCAGATGAAATCGTTTGGAGGCAATTGGAAAAGGTATGTAAAATCACATTCATATCTCTTCGTCTGGAAAGAAATAGTAAAAAACATCTACAAGTCTTTTAAAACATGCATTATCTGTGGTCTCCGGTTACTCCACAGGCACCTGAATTTTTATTAGTAAGTCGCTAAATAAGCCAAATATCGAAAAATTATAACCCCTCAATATATAAAAAAACACCATGTGTATTTATATATAGAGGGGGTAGAATATTTCATATTTGGTTATTTAGCGACTTATTGATAAAAATTAGGTGCCTGTGGTTACTCGTCAATTTTATATTATATTAAAAGCTACCGGTAATACTTTTGTGGAAACTTAACATTTTATTATATTAAAAGCTAATACTTCTGTGGAAACATCTGGTTTTAATGTAGATTCTAAATTGTTTAAATCTTTACACCAGGGGTAGGTGGGACCACAATGGGGAATCCAAATTTTACTTTGAACATGTTGAAATATGTTGAAAATCTTCTTCTCAAGAACCACTTAATCAGAAAGCTGAAACCTTTAAGAAGCCTCCTGGGTAGTTATGAGTCAAAATTATTCAAGTCATCACTACTAGGTTTAAAATGGGGCCATAATAGTGTAACAAGGGGGGAAATCAGGTGAAGAACAGAAGGATGAAAGCTACTCAGGTGAGTGTTGTGGCCCATTGGCCTCTTGTTGTCCTTTACCCATGTCTGCAAGGGAGGGGACATAGTGAGTAGGACATTTGAAAATGATGTGCGAGTTGAGTTAGTGTTGATTGTAAAATGTTGCATTTTCTATTGCAGATTATTTTTTGGATGGAAGATCAATCTCTTTGAGTTTTGGAGACACTTTTCCATGCTTCTTCAGAGACTGGGTCAAGCAACACCAACAGAGGGAAGATTTAAACATCTTTTCATGGCTTTCTCAAGAATATTTTTTCTTTCGCCAGAGTAAGAATATAATTTATTAGTGCAAAATGAAATTATAGTGCATACTTTTGAAATTTAAAGATATAACAAAGAGTTTCTGTTAACTTTTCACATTTCAACTTCTTCTTTAGAAGTTCCAGGTCAATTTCAACCAAACTTGTCACAAAGCATCCTTAAGTAAAAGGAATTCACTTTATTTAAATGAAAGACCAAATACTCTTTGAAAGGGATAATACGAGGGTCATTCAAAAAATACGTAGACAATGTTCCTATCATCACATTATTTTTACAAAACTTAATATCAGTGCATTTTTATATTTAGAAAGGTATATTTTATAGATTTCTGAAGTTTCATTTTGTTTGATTAAATGGAACTTATGTTAGCCAATTTTGTAAGCAACATGTTTTGTCACCATGCATGGAGCACGCGGTCATAACATTGTAACGTCAAAAACAACGTTAAAGAAAATTTCTCAAACGCCCCGTGCCTTTTTATTTTACACACGGTTTGTATCATATTCTTCATTTATTAAAATGTATCCACAACACTTGACACCTAGTATGCTAACAATAATTCGAGTATACCTTAAATAAGATTGTCAATGTTTTCAAATCCTTTACCATGTAACTCTGCTCTTACAGTTTCCGCAACAATGAAGCACACATCACGTTTCATGACGTTACTAAGTCTTTTGACAAGATTTTGAACTATAATCTGTTTCTTTGCAGAATGCCCAGCACCCAATTTAAAGTCTTTACCCCTAAAAAATTGTCTGTTCCATTATAAAAAAAATACATGGCTCATTTTATGTATTTTCCTGGTTTCTCCAGCATTTTCGGAGTTTGTTTTAAAAGTTTTCCAAATGCAAAACAAAATTATATTGCTACTCGCTGCTCCGTGATGTCCTTTTTTGCTTTTTTAATCAAGACTATCTGTCTATAGAAATTGATATCTTTTAAACAAAGCAATGTATTACATTAACTTTTAGCTTTTGGAGAAATGAAACAATACTAAATTTAAGTATCTAAATTTTATTTCATTTAAGGACAATTTTAAAGAGATATGGCTATAGATATGAAAAGTGATAAATCAGTCAATAACTCAATTTTGACCCTGCTCCGTGACCCCGTTTTTGCTGTCTTAAATCTTCGATAATTTTGACAAAAATCGAGATATATTCCAATTTCTTTGCTCAAAATATTTGAATCTGTTGTTAAAATATATGTACCAAATTTGGTTTAAATATGACGTTAAATAAAAAAGTTATGACAAAAGTCTACGAACTTTTTGAATGACCCTAGTACTGTAGTACATGTATCAAGAATTAATTGGTTTCTTTTAAAATCTAAAGAACCACTGGACCAAAATAAGTTGTAACAATAATTAAACCTTCTTTAGACTTTACTTATTTAATGATGATACATATTTGTTCAAATTAAAAAAAAATAAAAACACTTGGCAAAAAAGCTGATAAACTAATGTGTAATCATCCTTAAGTTATGAGGATTCTAACTTGTTCAAATCATGACCTCCAGGGGTAGGACGTGGTCACAATAGGGAATCCAAATTTTGAAATATGAAATATCTATATATATGTAGAAAAATTCTTTTAAAATCTTCTTCTCAAGAGTCACATGACCAGAAAAGCTTTATCTTTTGTAGGAGCATTCCTGGGTAGTGTAGATGCTAAGATGCTAAAAAAAAAATCAAATTATGACCCCCCCGGGGGTAGGGGGTAGCCACAATAGGTATTACAAGGGGGGAGAGGGGGGGGGGTCTGATTAAGAACAAAGGTGCTCAGGTGAGCAATGTGGCTCATGTGCCTCTTGTTTGCCATTTTTCCTAGCCACAGAGCTCAGGTGAGTGATGTTGTGTGTTGTTATTGTGGCATTTGATTTGCTTAATGATAACATTTCTCAATGTGAGCATTATAATCTTTGAGTCATAATCCTATATTCATTATACTTTCTAAACTTTTGTTCAAATCAGTAAAAATAAAACTTCAGATAGATTAATTATTTTATAGACCAGGGCAGGCTTTTATTGAACACATGGTCATCAAGGATGTTGTTGTGCGTGGTACACCAGCTGTTCGGTTCAATACTTTTCAAGACAAGTATTTAAAGGTGTTCATCGTCACTGAGGTCAGTAATGAATATATATTTTTTTTCTCATAATATTAGGTTCCCTGAGTAAACAACTTATCAGCTTCTACTTTGAATAATTTTGGCAAATAATGTCTATGGGTGTAGGGAGACAAAAATTGTGAATTTTGTGGTCAACCCCCCCCCCCCCCACACACACACCCACCCCCACCCCCACCCCATCCTATTTCTGTTAACATGATTGTGAAAAGCATTGAGCCCTATATCAAAATTGTGAATTTAAGGGGTTCTGATGTACAAATTTTGGAACCACTGGTTGCCAGATTATTCAAGTGTTACTGTGCTTTGAATTTGCCATTTTTTTAAAAAAATTGATTTTTATTTCTGTATTTGTATTTATTTATCTCATCCATTTTTTACAATACTCGTAACTCAACCGTAATTGTTACATGGCAGATTTATGGTTGTAGTTTAGATGCAATCACTAAAATTAAAAAAAAAAGATCTTTTGAACAGATGTTCTTTGCCAGTAAATCATTTCGATTTCAAACATGGGTCTTTTTTACTTATTCAAGGTCACATTTACAAAATTGGGATTAAGACTTTAAAAAAATTGCAAGAAGAATATAAATTGCTCCTAATTGTTTGCCTCTACTGTCTTCATTAAACAAGTCATGGAGAATTCTGCATTATCATTGTTATTATGATTTTTTTTTATTTTTTAGGTTAAAATGTATGATGCCTTAAAAGGAAACTTTAACTCTGAGACTTTCACATTTAGAAATGTTGGGGAGGAAGTTCTAGGTCAGCATGGAATTGAACTCCTGATGGAGAGAAAGGGCTCCTTTTTCTTCACCTATGTTGTCGGGATTCTTTGTATTGGAACACTAGTAAGTGTATCATTTTATATTTTTGGTGACCTACTGTTATCTTTTTTCATCTGTCGCCATGCATCGATCAGTCATTGTCTGTTAACATTTGAACATGTTCAACTTCTTCTCTGAAACCACTCAATTAATTTCAACCAATTTTACTGTAATTATAGCATATAAAAGTGAAGGGGATCAAAAATTGTATTTCATGGTTCTTATTTCCTGGGGCTGAGGGGTGGGGCCAAAACTATGAAAATTAATGCAGTTCTAAAAATCTTACTCCTAGACATCAAGCAGTCAACCTTTTGGAATGTACGTAATAAGCATTGAGTCCTATACCATATTATTGTGAAATTCATGGCCCCAGGGACAGGGGTTCTAGTGCCAGGGTGGGACTTTATAGAATATAGTGATAGTGCATTAATTCTTTGAAAATCTTTTCTGCTCCTGGGCTTTAAACAAAATAACTACATACATAATTATGATGAGCGAGGGTTTTTCTTCAAGAATTGTGAATTTCATGGCGCCTGGGTCGGGGTTCAGGTGATAGGGCAGGGCTCTTTTGATCATAAAGCAAAATTGCATTAATTCTTTGTGAATTTTCTCTGCGTCTGGGTATGAAACAAACTAAAAACTTACATAATAATTATACATACTTATGATGAGCAAGGGTCCCTTCCAAAATTGTAAATTTCAAGGCCCTAGTTCAGGGGTACCTTAGAGGGGATGGGGAAGGCCGTGCTCTAATGATTATATACTGAACATGAATTAATGCTTTATATCTGCTCCTTGGTATTTAACAAACATTTATGATGAGCGAGGGTGCCTTTTCCAAAATTGAATGTGTTGCTCCAGGTTCAGGGGTTCCTCTGGTGGGGACACTGCTGACTTTTACTGATTATAACTGGTTACTTGAAATGCATTCATTTGTTTCCCTTCTCTTCCTGTGATAATTAAGTAATCAAACTAAGTTTTTAAGTGTACATAAATGGGTGCACTGATGCTTCTTCAAAATTGTGAAGCCCCGTGGGGATCCGGGTTAAATAGGTCTCATACCCCCTTGCTTGTCGTAAAAGGCGACTAAATGGGGCGGTCCTTCGGATGAGACCATATAAACCGAGGCCCCTTGTCACAGCAGGTGTGAGTTCAAATAAGAGCTACATCTAATTTCCATATTTGGGGTGTGATTTAACAATAGTATCTGCGTATTTCCGATCGAGGATTTCCCGACACTTTGGCAAGTTTGGGAGGGTGCGCAATTACAAAGGATTTTAACCTGCGACTTAATGGTAAAATCTGAATTCACCAAAATTTATCCACCTGTCCAAAATTAATTATATATCTTAACAACATAAAATCGCAATTTTTCCGCAAAAAAACCGCCTATACGGTATAAGGGTGAAGGGGAAAAAATTTTTAATTTCATGGTCCCTGTTTCCTTGGGCCTAAGGGATGGGGCCAAAACTACTAAAATTAATGCAATTTTGAAAAATCTTTTTTATTCCTAGACGTCAAGCAGTGACCTTTGGAATGTATGCAAAAAGCATTAAGTCCTATCATATTATTGTGAAATTCATGGCCCCGGGACGGGATGGGACTTGATAGATTATTAGTGATAGTGCATTAATTCTTTAAAAGTCTTCTCTGCTCCTTGGCTTTAAACAAAATAACTTCATACATAATTATGATGAGTGAGGGTTCTTCTTCAAGAATTTTGAATTTCATGGTGCCAGGGTCAGGGGTTCAGGTGATAGGGCAGGGCTCTATTGATTATAAAGTAAAAATGCATTAATTCTTTGTGAATTTTCTCTGCTTCTGGGTGTGAAAACTAAAAACGTACACAATAAGTATACATAGTATGATGAGCAAGGGTCCTTCTTCCAAAATTGTAAATTTCAAGGCCCCTAGTTGGGGTACCGAGGGGATGGCTGGGTCTAATGATTATATACTGATTATATACTGAACATGAATTAATGCTATGAAATCTGCTCCGTGGTAGTAATCAAACATTTATGATGATAGAGAGTGCCTTTTCCAAAATTGTAAAATGTTTTTCAGGGTCAGGGGTTCCTTGGGTGGGCACTATGTCTTATGATTATAACTGATTAGTTGAAATGCATTTATTTGTTTCCCTTCTCTTCCTGCGATAAGTAAGTAACCAAAATAAGTTTTAAGTGTACATAAATGGGTGCATTGGTATTCTTTAAAAAACCCCCTTCCTTTGCTAAAGGCTAATGCGGGAAAGCAATGGCCTTCCCTTTTTAGTTCCCTTATTTTTTTTTAAAAAAGATTTTTTCTTTTTAAATTTTTTTTAAAAAAAAAAAATTTGTAAA